ACATAGGCCAGCTATTGCCCAACACCTGAGGCATTAGTTTACGGAGTTTTCTTATGGTGACTAGTACCACAGACATGAGGCCGCAACTGGGCGCACAATTTATCTCAAAACCTCTGTGACCGTATACCACAAAATATGCAACATATTACTCTGCAGGGTGTCGTGCAGTGTACATAAGCATATGGATGTATTAATCAACCTATTGATTGGACTGTGGTTGCTTGTAACGAACCCTTGTACTCGAAACATACGTGGCAAAGCTACATCGTTGTACTCAACCCTTGCCCTCTGGTTTCTTAGGATCGATAAGCTTCAACTTTTTAGATAAATTTAATTGTGTAACATGATAGACTCGCTCCCACTCTCAGGAGTGAACAAGTATCAGAAACGATGACCCGTAGCTGGCACGCTGATGCGTACTTCCTCCCTAGATTAGTCCATCTCGCAAAAGGACCCTTTTTGTCGGTCTGTCTGAAATGGAGTCAAAGACAACTGACTTGTATGACTTCGTCCGAAAGGTATTTTTGGACCAGTGCTTTTATAGTGTCGTATGGCTGCAGAACATTTCGAATAATGTGGGGTTTTTCGCTGTGAAAGACAAGGCACCTACTTCCCTCTACGTCTGAAAATTGCAGGTAGTTCATAGGGATGAACTTCAACACCAGGTGACATCCTGTGGTGCTCATTTTTCCGTTCAACACCGTGAAGTGATACAGGTCAAGTATTAGAATGATACGTCTATTCGTCTCTTGCTTTCTATCAGGTTTTCTTTCCAGTTCTCATGTGGATGTCTCTCCTACCACACTCTTGGACACAAAGACTTTGGAACAGATGTCTGAGCTTTGCTTATGTAATGAAAACTAATCGATGGACAGTGCCGAGGGTAGCTTAAAAATGTGTAAGGGGAGCGTGAAATATGTGTTCCTTCCTATGACTAATTGGGTAAAATCACGTAAACGGACGTGCTTTGGTCATTTCGATCAGTTCAAATATCAACTATACTGGTCCTGACAAGTTAATGGGGAACAGAAACTAGAACGAAACCTCAAGTTTAGTTGAGACCCACACTTCTGTATGAGGGATATCTTGCCAGTATTGTGCTATTTCTCAACGATGTGAACGATGTGCAACATTTCCTCTCAAGTGGGATTTGGTCCAGCAAGTGAGACCAACTAAAGCTGAAGATCCGAGAAGCACTGGGCAGCTGTTTCTCACTCGATGAGCATCATCAACAGACCGGATCCTATAAAACACCAGTAGGGGTTTTGAAACCGTAACCTACCGACCAGTGAATCGACATCCAACAGTTTGGTCACGAACGGGTGAACAGCAGTTTGATTAGCCCTCACTTGGCTCTCACTTCTCATTTACTCCATCCAAGTATCTAGTTTGCCAGTGGATAGAAATTCGTAGGCAGATTTGTTGATGGTCTCATACGGCATGCAGTCCATAGACAACTCAAATGGCTTCGGAAGGGCCTTTACACCTGTGGCATTTCTACAAATCATCGAGAACCGTTCCTCATCAGGCCGGATAGCATGCAAGAGTAGATCGAATTTTTGCAAAGTGATTTGTAGAAAAACAACTCCCTGGTTTTACAGTAAGGCGAAATCATAAACAATACTGGGACTTATTCCACCAAGAACGACTACCCGTGGTTCAATTGTGACATTCTCAGGAAACCAGTAACAGCAAGACTCTGAATCAGCTCGAAGGAAACATACCATCAACAGAATCCTATAAAACACCAGTAGGGGTTTTGAAACCGTAACCTACCGACCAGTGAATCGACATCCAACAGTTTGGTCACGAACGGGTGAACAGCAGTTTGATTAGCCCTCACTTGGCTCTCACTTCTCATTTACTCCATCCAAGTATCTAGTTTGCCAGTGGATAGAAATTCGTAGGCAGATTTGTTGATGGTCTCATACGGCATGCAGTCCATAGACAACTCAAATGGCTTCGGAAGGGCCTTTACACCTGTGGCATTTCTACAAATCATCGAGAACCGTTCCTCATCAGGCCGGATAGCATGCAAGAGTAGATCGAATTTTTGCAAAGTGATTTGTAGAAAAACAACTCCCTGGTTTTACAGTAAGGCGAAATCATAAACAATACTGGGACTTATTCCACCAAGAACGACTACCCGTGGTTCAATTGTGACATTCTCAGGAAACCAGTAACAGCAAGACTCTGAATCAGCTCGAAGGAAACATACTATGGAGCTCAACTCAAAGTTATTTAATTCACACAAGTCACCCCACTTCCGGTACACAAAGCGTTTTGCACTATTCTCTCAACTTCACACTGTCACCCATGCTGCAACTACGGTCCATTTTATTTGGACCAAACAGAACTATTGATGCCAGGACCCCAATCTTTGTTGCTAAATAAGGCTACTAAAAAAAGAGCTGACCTAACCCCGCCATCGTCAACTAATAGATACGTCCTTGAAACTGGACAGTCCGTTCGCACCGCATCAACACATTCTTTTCCACTGTGATGTAATCAATCCTTAAGACTGAAGTACGTTGGGCTTTCATAAATTACCCTTTCTAAGAATTGGGATCAGTCAGACTGTCCTTGCCCTGGTTCATATGAATAAGTTTATTTCACTCTATGTTGTTCGTGACTTCTAAGTTGCAGGTTTTGCCGCATGTCTGTGTCATTCTTAGACTGTGATGTCTGTTGTGCCTGCTACTACTATATGAATAAAAGGTTGTCCAGTGAGGTCGTTTGGCGGCGCGTAAGGTGTAATCCACGGGTACGAAATCGTGGTTTCCTGAAGACCGACCAAAACTTGACCAACATAAACCCCGCTCTCTAAAAACTATCACTTCCAGGACCTTTGAACTGTCAGAGTAGTGCATTTTAGTGGGGGAGGTTGCTCTGAACTTTGGACATTACGTTCCATACTCAGTGATATTGATCACCGACACACTAGACCAAAAATCTGCATTCGTTTTCAAGGAACAAATCACAAGGTGGGAACTACTGTTCAGAATACGGTAACCTGCCAGATCAGTTAGCCGAGCTTCTGGAACCATCCGAGCAACTCGTTTTCCCAGAAGGTCTCAAGTTTTTAATGCAGATGATGTTGACTAAAAATCAAAAAGCACGCTTCGGCGTTCAGTTTTGTAACAGAAATTCCATAGAACACAGTAATTTTCTCAGGCTTGATCAACCACCTAAACAACTTGTCCACTGCTGACGACTTGATGACGAACAGAACCATCGAAGTTAAACTGCCCTCATTTTTTGCTAGTACCAAATGCTTTGCTCCAGTTCAAGGACAAGCCATTCCATGAAATGTATCTCCTTGATAACCAGAGAATATGCTGCCTCTCAAATTACAATGGGGGATGGTGCAGCGACAGCGTGATCGTTGCTCTGATCTTTGACGCACAAGTGTTTTTACTACTTTGCTCAGTCCACCAATGAAGATGTACCACCGAATACAGAAAGCATTACTGCGTTTGGTTCTACGAAATAACTGATCCTGGCGTCCAGTCATTCGGTTATTGGAAGACAATGTGCAAAAGTCGTCCTCATGCACTGATACAACCCATGTTAATAAAACAGCATGCAACACATGTCGACAATGTTCCTACCGGTTCCGTAGAACATTGCTTGAGCAACAACGGAAAGTTGTCCTCGAAGGCTAGAACCATCGCTTTTATGGCCTGGGGAAATACCGCTACCCCGTTGTGTGACAATGCCTTTTGTGGAGGGTAAACGCTCATTGTGACAGTCACCTAGCTGGAAGTGAGGTACAGCGGTGGACAAGGAACAAGAGAAATTTGAGTTAAGCCGTCTAATGTCTCATAAATTTGTCATATGACTACTAGTAATCACGTCTTGATTCATGATCTTTTGTAATTCGTCAGCCAAAACATACGCAACATATTTACTCTAACTTGTTTTGCGAGTTATTGTTTGCCCACTAAATCTTGTCTTCATCCCATTTTGAATACACGTTCGTTAGTTTTGAGTGAACATTTGAAAATGTTTGTAATAAGTTAGGCGGTATAAAAGAAGCCGTTTCCAACTTCGACAGATGATAATCAATGAGTGTGTCTCAGGCTGTCCGTGGATAGATCTACCTGGAATTGGAGTCTCCGAAAATGACGGTCAGAAGTTGGATGAGCTGTTTCCTTGATAATATTGTAAGCCCCTTTTTAGCTTTAAAAGCACCAACTTCTTAGCTAGGAAGCACTGGATTACTGGAAATACATCCAGAAACATTGGTGCAGATGCAAAACAGTTGAGTGATGTTGAGGACGTAGAATGGGTGTATCTATTCCGAATCGCGCAGACTAACATGAAGTATCTAGTCTGCAGCTCTCACTTCGGAATACCACATCAAATATGAATACTCATTGGATGAAAACTGCTTGAGGGCATATCCATTTTTAGTATGTAGCAACAAGAACTTGTATGTTTTGTGTTTTAAAGATGCAAAGTTGTTGGTAATTCAGGCTGGTAGGCTGCCGATTTTATAGCCAACCAACATTAGCAACATCACTAACAATCAACAAATGCGAAGTGAAAGCCGATTCTGTTTAATTAAGCCTATGTTTCACTAACGAAGGCATAACAAGCAAGTAACATATCAGCGTTGGTATATTAGAGCGCTTATATTTAACAGCAAGGCGTATGATTTACTCTCATATGATGGAGAAAGCAGAAGACGATCAAGCAATCAGCTCAAGGAAGTAAACGATAATTGCCCAACTATTCCGAAAAAAGGGGAGATCAACCCTTATATAAGTGATGTAGCATCACAGCTGCTATCAGTTTCTCGTCATCAGATACCTACCTTTCAAACGAGCGTCAAAAGCATGTAAGTATATCAGACTGCTTTTAAAGATTATTTGGCCAGCTCACGAAGCACATGGTTGTTTTACCACTCTTGAGTGAGTCGATCTCAGTCAGGGTAACATCCTCATCTTATCCAGGAGCTTGTCAAAAGTTTGAAAACAGTAGTGGGCTGGAGAAATTATCTATAAAAGTATTTTCCAAAAAATAATGATAGTTTGGAATGCAACACAGAACATGTTTTGTAGAGCGTGTGTCGTCTACTGCGGTCTGCTCAGTAGCAACCTTCTACAGAAATGTCCTAAATCCTCTTTTGTGGAGTAAAATAGGGTAAAATTTCTCAGAGGAACATTAAAAGGAAAAAAATAAAGAAGTATCATGTGATTCTACGTAGAGGAGGTTGCCCGTGCCCTTACAATTTCAGAGCCGGAAGTCCATATTTGTGATACGCATTTAAGAGCCTCACTAATCTCCGTAAATCTATCACATATAACGGTGGATATGCAAAAAGTAAGTAGTAAATCTAAGTCTTGAATGCCAGTTTGAAACACCACTATGGTGTCTTCACGTTAGTCCGTCTGATTATGTCCACCTTCCTGTCTCTTGAGAGCAACGAGATTTTGGCAAAGCAAACTCTTTCCCATAAACCGAAGTCAAGAACCTTTCGGGATCGTTGGGGCAGGGGACATTCAAACCCATGTACTTGCAGTTTCGGAGAGGAAATATCACACTCGCAGGTTCAACACGGTCTCTATCCATCCCCTCATCAAGGTAGCCAAATTCGATGGGGTTGTTTGCCACATCCATGCGAACTTCCAGGTGAACCGGATATATGTCGATATATTCTCCGTATTGGCGAAACATACGAGCTAGTGGTCCGCAGAATGAGCAAGTGTCCCGCAGAGATGTCACATTACGACCACCGCAATCGAGACGCAGTCCGGGGGATGTAACGCAGTGTTCTCCTGGCCGAGTAACCAGATTAAACTGTAAGGTAAATAGCATAGAAGAGGCGGCAAAGGTCTACCAATAAAATGACCACTATGGAACAGGTTCAATATGCCGACTTTACCGAACCCAGACTTCTAATTTCTCGGTCCCGTTTTCTTGAAAACAACTAAATTGTGAACAGAGCCGATTTGCTCTGTTTCACATTGGTCCTACGACACTGTCATAAAGCAACCGAAGGTTTCCGGTCTCATTTCCAGGGCAATCTTTCATTTTTTTCATTATTTATATTTATATCTCCGTTCTGTGTTCCGGTCACGATCGAAATTTGAGAAGCATTATTGGTATAGTCCCCATATTCAACTGAGAGGATTAGGATTTCGACAGCTGCTAGTCAAGTCAATGGGTTTATCATCAGTTTCGGTGTGCCTTAGTGACGACCCTTAAGCGGTTTTCTACACACGTAATGTTCAATGATTTAACAAGTAATGCATGGGAGTCAAAGATGAAGTGTGCGCAAAATTGGTTAGGATATAGTGGGGAGTTCTGCGCCAGGCATGAGGTTGTTTCTGAATCACCGATACCGTTATTTGCTTAAGGAATCATCTATGGATCATAAGTGCAGTCAATTTGCTTGCCAAACAATTTCTGTCTGTTCTCGTGAATAGGATTCCGTGGTATCATAAAATCTGCACACCGTGGCATGTGCTGCTGCACGGCACCCAGAAACTTCCCTCAGAATATAAGGCCTAATACAGAACCACTTTGCCAGTACCTGCTTGCTCGACAGAAATCTGGAAGGTAGGCTGTCAGTCCAGGGTTGTTCGATGTTATCCTGGACGTCAATCTCAGAAAATGTCCAGGCACTCACCTTTCTGTTTTCGAAACTGAAACGCTAAACAAAACCAGTAAAACTGCAGCAACCTGATCGATACAAAAGACCAAAACAACCTAATCAATAGTTCGATGTGGTTTGTCGAGTACGACCCGGCCGCTCGAAGGTCATCCTCAAAAACGCACTTGAAACATCGAAGGTGGCTGCAATCAGGTTGCGCAGTCCGTCAATCTCTCATTAGGAAAGGCGCGTGAAAATGTTGGCTAAACAATGGCCCTTTTCTGAGGGAAGCTCAAAGATTCATACGAGTTTTAGTTATTCCTATAACCAATAAGACCTCACACGTTCTCCTCCAAAACATTTAACCCACCAGTAAAGCTCTATGTCCGGTGAGAAAATAGATATTGTATGACAGACTATCAGTAACAAAGTGATGTGTTTATTGAGATCATCATGCGTACAGGAGAATAGGAACCACAGATGTATTCGTTGACACCATCTATTGGTCCGAATTCCGTCGTCCCTTTTGTAAGACTGACCACAGGACCCATACTGTAATTATCGTCGGAGCGAAATTCAGGATGTAGGGAATGTGCATAGGATGGTTTTAGGTGACTGTGATGGGGAAAGTACGATGCGAAACTAGTATAGAAATTTTGAAACAAGTGAAATAGTTCCCATTCTATGGACTTTTTATAGCGTGCAGCAACACCTGAAAACAGAGTAGCATGCTCCTAACGCGTCACAAATAAATGCACCCAACCCCTTAAGCTTTCGATAGAAATTCATTGACACCCGATGGGCTAGTTCGTCGGCAGTTAAAGTAACCTATTTGTGTCAGTCGCTTCATGGTTAAATGTTAGTCAGCGTAGAAAATATCTCCCGTATTTATGCAATGTGGCGTGTCTATGTAGCATGTGCTTCACTTAAATGGGGCCACAATTTGCCAACTCAACTTTGTGGCAGAATAGATGGTTAGGACGGCTGGTTCAGGAGTACCTGAACACTGCTCAAATTGGCAATAGTACTCACAAGTTTCGTCCTCGGTTTGCCATAAATAAGCCAAGTGTTATGATAGACATGTTAATTATCTTGCAAGGTTTCGATGCCTGAACATTGCCGGCTTTAGAAATCTGTTTGTGGGTCGGTTAGCCAAGTTAGTGAAGCATTTTGTAAATTCCAGAAACTAGCTTCATGTATATAAGGGCACCATGAGAGGGTTGGACAACAAAAAACTGAGTGTGCCTTCAAACTGGTTAATTCGACTCAGAGATCATACAGGTAGTCATTTGGTCCAGGAAAAGAATAGGGCTGTGCTGGGATGCAAGGAATTGGGAGGCTGATATGTGTGTTTCGGAATTTGTCTAAATCATCAAGCAGGTTCCAAAGCAGAATAGTTTATACTATACGACACTTCGTGTAAAGAAATGCACGGAACAGCACGAGTGCCTTTTGGCCCATTCACATCGAAGGACATAAGGCCGGGGGCAGCGGAATGAATTGCTGATATACTACAATGGCTAGATAAGTTCAAGCATGCGGCGCTTAGAGTATGTCCCGGATGGTCCGACTGCTTACGTCCTTTTGCGAGTCTAACCAGATAAGTCAAACTTAACTACCCAATTAGAGACAAATGTAAACACTTACCTTCCCTTTTTGTATGGACTTTCGATCCGTCGCCAGTTCGCGAAGCCTCTTTTCGTAAGAACCAAGGATACTAATGTCCACATCCGAATCGTACGGTATCATGTTTCCATCTCTGTGGAACACAAGTAAACCCAAAACGGAATTAATAATGGCTTGGCACCCGAGTTCCAATCGCTCATCATACCCTGAACTTCAAACACTTCATCCCGACGTCCTGATGTAGCACAAAATGGCAATTTGACGGCATTTTAGCCAGTGTTGAATGCGAAAACTGGAAATACATAGAGTTTATAACAACCCATCTCTTCGAAAATCTAGTTACCGGGTAGTGTAACTTATGTTATCTCAGTTTCCGGACGCTGCTTGCCAAGAGGTATACGGTATTCCTTCCAGATGTAACAATGGGTAGCAACTTGATGTGTGTGGTCTCTAGTTCCAAATCTCCGATGGGTGTACTCATGGCTTTGCTGACTGTGTTGGCAAAACAACAATTTCTAATGCAACGTACACATATAGTCAGCAGAAGCATTGTTTTTGGAGCAATTCACCGAGCCGAAGACAGGCTTATTCGAAAAGTTGCAGGTGCTCTCAAGAACCGAAATCCAAGGAAAAACTGACCTCGATGTCCTGAGACTAAAGCAAAGACTAAAGTATAGTACAATTGCAGGTGATCAACAAGCTGAGAGTGGCCTTCAACACTGGAGTAATCAGATATTTTGACTGGTTTCACAACTATTTGGAGAAGCATTTAAACAGAAACTGTCTCGTTTACCTCTTGGGACTTTCAAAGTATGGGGTAAGGATGCCTTCAGAACGTTTTCTTTCAATATTGAAGCTGTAATTTGAACTTCACTAAGACAAAATATCAAAAAGTCTCTCATGCACGTCATAGATGAGTGCCCTAGTTATCCGTTTGCGAGTCAACCAGTGAACTTTCAGTTGGTGGCCTTCCGGCAGAATGTTTTGATCGTCGCATACACGCCTCATAAGAAGATTTCTTCAAAGTTTATTATAGGGAACAACTGACCTCAATAATAAAAGTTGGGACTAGATGCGAAGAAGAACAGTTAAATACGGAATGTCGCTTGCAGCTATATCGTGCATAGTTTTCTGAGTGCATCCATGAGAACTAAATGAAAAAGATCAAAGCAAATCATCTCAAAATCGCTATCATCAACTGAGCAAATGGTCAGAGTGCAATAAGTCCTCGAAAAATTAGGTCGCCAGTTTCGGGCTGTTACTTCTGGACCATTCACCCGCCGCCAGTGAATATGACTTTATGTAGTCATTGATCCAACCAGGACTACTGACTACAGATGAAAAGTGAAAACGTCTCGTCTTATCGGTCCTCATGTATGATCTGACAATCAACTTCAACCCAAATTGGACTGATTTCAACAAATACACTCGGGTTCAAATGGAACACAAGGTTGGCGGAAACTCAGGGACTGCGCCCACCTGAAGAGCTCCAAGAAGGGTGAAACAGGTCGTAGGCTGTTGAAGAGTTTTCAGCAACCTTGTGACTAGTGCCCTGCTCATGTTTGCGCCGTAGGCGCACGGATTCACGGATGAAAGCAGTGGGACCCTAGAATGCAGTTCAAATGGCTTGTTTCCGCCAAGTCTATTGGTAGCGAGCCCTTAGGTAGGGTCTTAAACCTCGAGTCAATGCAAAGCGGGGCTCAAAAACAGGCTATTTAACTGTGAGTCTGTTGTGAAAACGAGGATTTGCCCACCACATACCACTCACGTTCATGCGACTCCGGGTTCCTTATAGACTAAATCACCTGTACGTGCAGCTTTAACGCCACAATGTGCGTACATCTGAAAAACACGACACAAGCCAATAACCAGGTTAAAAACTTCTTGAATGTGAGCATTAGAGCGCGGCGTTGCACACACATTTCCACTAGTCCACAAACGAGGTCAACTAGCTGTACCAAAACCATTGTAACAAGGACTGTTGAAATCCGATCAAACGACGCCGAGTATCCCCTAGATCGGAGAGAGAGCTGTGTACAGATCTTGCAAACCTGAACAACGATCCACAGTCTCGGTCGCTGTGATCGATTCTTAAAAAAGCAATCACGACCGCAGCTGGAGCGTTGACACGGAAACCTTTAGACCCAGCTGTGGAAGTATCCAAAATAAGGCAGTTTCATCTGGCACTGGGCGGCCGGGTATAGATTGCGGTGCTGTATGGGTAGCTTCGTTAGAATGTGATTGGTTCAGTAAGTGCCACCAGTAATGAAAAGACATTTTTGGACGTCCTGCCGAAATATAGATGCACTGGCAGCGTATAAAACACGGTAGCGCGTTCGCACGAACAAATTCTTTTGTGAAGTAGGTTAAAAGTCGAAAGCGGTATTTGGAAAACACCAACGCAGCGCAACTCCAAATAACGTTTCCTACAAGAGCATGCAAAAGTCCTATACTTGAAGGGCCACTGATTTGCATCAATCACATCAGCTACAGTGGAATGATCTGGAAAGTTGATAGGTCTTCCGTGCTGATTTTCACACCAAAAGTAGTAATGCTCCACTCTGTCACCCGATCAACCAGTTTAGACCTAACAGCGGGGTTCGCAAAACTGGATTTTTGATCGCACACAAGCCATGACGTTATACTTTTTCACGTTAAACATTGACCTAAACTGATTGCTTGAGCACATATACTGGATCCTTTTTCCCGGCCGGCATGACCAGTACGTAACGACATTTGTGTCTAATCGAAGTTCTCGGTGGCCTCAACAGACGAAATTTCCTAGGACACCAGGATGATAAACATTCACCCAGCTGATGCTGGGTTTCGCAAACAAACATCTGAAAGAAGTATTTTACGAGTGGCTAATTTAATGTCGCAGTGGAATCAAATTGAGGAAGTGATGGGTGAAGTGTTATTTTCACCATGGAATTAGGTACTTCACTTAGATAATGTACTAATTGTACGATTATTTGTTTGATTGCTGTCCGCACGACACCTGGTAGCCGGGCATCGCCTGAGCAACAGAGCACTCACCAATAGGCTGTGTGTGTTAAGCCAGCAAACGACTATAAGCTGTAAAACTCTTCTCCCATGTCGGTATCTGAGTGGGGCAAAGACTTCAGCACCATAGCTTATATCATATCAAACTCCGTATACTATAAGCAGGGATCGGTTTCGGGCTACCTACCGAGTGGTTGGCGTGAGTGTGGAACATTTTTCCGTTTTTTACTCCCGTTCAACTAAGGAGAATCAGAGGTGAAAGCCGCCATAATAACGAGCCCCGTCTACTAAATTTACGGACAATATCGATTTGTTAATGACAGAATTTATGGTTAATTATTTACGGAATTATTCACCTCAGCTCTAGATGCATAGCAGTGAACTTTGTTGGATCGGTTACCTATCTATTACCCCGTATAGTGGTAGAAGAATACCGATTTTGCGAGATGCCACCATTTCAAACGCTCATATCAACCAGTGAGCTATATTTTCTAGTCGCATTGTTAGATACAGCTTTCTTGATTGAGAGCTTCAACTTTGAACAACAGTAGGGGAAATGGAAAAAGGAAGAAATATCAACGGTTTATGCAGTGTACTCGATACAGAGCTCAAAACTAACGCTGATTTGGGTTATGTAAGAGTATAATTCAGAATAAAATTCAGTTTTCAAAGGTTAGCTTGCTGTCGACTAACAAATGGCGTGGCATATCAGGGCCACGCAATCCTGTCACCTGACTAGCTGACCACGTGAGCACCAATGCTCGTACAAGTCGATTTTGAACATGCAATTTGCGCTCGCACATCTTTTTCCCAACGGATTTTGCATTGACAGAGATCATCCTTCTGATGGACATTCACAAGCTTTTCGGTACTTTGCAGATGGGTGCGAAGTCTGCTGCGGTATTCACGATGTGTCTCATTTCCAGTAAACGACTTTAATTCGGGTCGGACAGTGTCGTGGAGACCCTGCATCAAGGCTGACGATATAGGGAAAAATCGACAATCGGTACCTAGCTGCCATGCCACCCAGAGGAATTATTAGGGCTGGGATACTGCTAGGTCACCCAAGCTTAGATAGGATAAGTCGAGATGCAGAGGTTGGGTTCGATGAAAGCTTGCGGTCTCTAGACTCATCACATCTTGCATTACCCACTAAAGCACACTGGAGAGCTTCTCTCGCATTATTCAGCAATAGAAACCAACCGTTTACCGAATTTCGATTGAAAACTTCGCTTTTTGACCATTTTTGGAGGTGATTACCAGTTTTTCTTTGAAGCTGGCAAACCGCGTTAAAGACGCTCCAAAAGAGCTCAAAATCTTTCAACAAAGGCTACAAATTTTGCCAGTTTTTCATGAAGTTAGGCTCCAGCCCAACCGACGGATAACCCTGAAACTGCAACCAACATGCGGGCTTGACTAATTTTGTTAGAGAATCTGCGGCTCGAACTGAAAGGGTCCGCTCTTCTTGTGCGCATGCAGACCACCGAAAGCTATCGATCATTCGGTCAGCAAACTTGGTTTCGTTGGTCTGGCTGTCCGACCGCATTCGTTGCCAGGTTAACATAAAATTTGACTTAACTCAGGTATTCCGTCTGTGTCAAATTCCAAGAAAAATTAGTGCATGTCGAATCGTTTAATTCAGCTGCCCCGGTGTAGTCATACGCAGCTGTCAAAAGGACCGAGCCTGTCTGTCGCACATCCGTACGCCTGAAGGGACAGCAGCATCGATAGTCCTTAATGCTATTATCCATGTGCCACACAAGGGCTGCGTGGGGATGTACAGTCGCGGAGATACTCAGTGTGTGGATTGGAAGACTGCAATAAAGTCTGGATCTCGTACAGACACGCGAAGCGTGACATTGGGAATATCAGTTTTTACCGGTTTGCTGAGGACCGGCAAAGAGATAGGTGCACCGAACAGCCACTTATCTGCCTTCTGTCTCCACCATCACTCGACCTTATGTTCACCTGAATCAGAATCCCACTCATGAACATGCCACGATGAGCAACTATTATGTGACGAATGACCTCAGTGTAGTAGTAAGGTGGAACCCAATGTTCAGTGAGCAGGTACAACATTTTTCTAGTTTTGAACTGGGAACTACTATTCAGCTGGGTTGACTGGGACATCACCAGAACCCAGGATTGAACAACAATCGTACAAACGAAGCATGAAATAATCTTTGTGGAAAACATTCCACTGAAGAACATCATAAAAACGAGAGGCTGGGATTTGGTACAGTCTCCCGTTCACCCAAATTAGTTCAGTTTAGTAGTGCACTACTCATAAGGTTGCTGAAACTTCTTCGACAACCCACGATCGGTTTCACCCTCCTTGGGGCTCATCAGGTAGGAACAGGCCCTGAGTTTCCGTCAACCTTATGTTCTACTTGAAACCAAATCGCACGAAATTAGCGAAAAACACTCATTCCCGGTGAATCTCTCGGAAAAACAAATTAGTTTGTAGAAGAGCGTATTTCCCTAGTTTAGTTTAAATTCTAATTGCGTCCGAATTTGACACGTCTACGACATGCGATTGACAAAAACTCTGTAACTGACAAGCCCCAAACCGATCATGGGCTGTCGATGTATTTTCAGCAATCCGATGATTGTTCTTCTGTCAATACGATATCATTTTCTTGTTCGTCTGTTTACCGAGATAGAGCATTTTGAATCAATTTTATAGAAGAAAACACTATTCGCAGCACCGAAATCCTGTTATAAACTAATGTGTCTGAGGGAAAACATGGTTTCGGACTTTTATCTTGATATTTTGCCGTTTGGTCAGAAGGAACTCGGAACAACATTGCTATAGGGTAAAACGGGACATGCGACTTTCACTAGGGTTCAATCACCAACATTTTCTGGATGTCTGGGGACAACTTATGCGGTTACTCAGAGGACAAGCGAATGCGGAGTCCAGGCCAGACTGTGCAAGTGATTAGGCTTGTTTCAACTCATCATTTTTGGCAGACTTATTAGTCAAACAGCAAACGGTCCACGCATTTCTTTGCTGAGACCAACTACTGAGAAGCTGGATAACATATTGTGACGCATGATGAGGGGCAGAAGACCGAAGAGAACCAGATTTACAACTGAAACGCATTCTGAGAGCTATGACAAATGTGATCATCCACAAAGCATGGTCTGCACAATTTCAGACAGTAACGCAACCAATCCGATCATCCACAAAGCACAATTTCAGACAGTAACGCAACCAATCAAGTCATAAAAATTGTTTCATGCAATCTCACTAGTTTACTTCATGAACAAAAGAAAGAACGGACCCAATCGTTGTTACATTGCTTTGAAATTTAGTCGGCACAACCAACAAATTACTGCAGCAAAAGAGAAATGGGTTCGAAAAAGTTGATTGGAAACCATAGTACAGACGATACAAACGAGAAGATATCGCGCAGGTGTGTGCATTCTGAACCAATGTACGAGTCAGCCCACAATTAGAAGAATGCTTGTTCAGTAAAACAGAACTCGTGAGTTCGAGTTCATTTGTTTTATGTAAAGACCAACAGTTTGTATTCGCATTGTAAGAAGGTTGGTCAAGAATCTATGAAACGGTGAAAGAATGAAATGCATTTATTCAAACCAATTAGTTCCAGTCATCTATCCGCAATGTATTCTCTTACACCACTTTTTGCAACCATCTTCTATCTAACTTCTTCGATGTCGATGAACAGTGTGACTAGTTTTGAAGCCATTCGGGAATGACAATGTTCAATCAGCGTAATTCGGGCCCAGCATGTGGGGAAATCAGTCATGAAAGACAAACAGAAGACAAAAGGACACGGAAAACCGTTGCAGTGTGAAAAAAAGCTTACTTCGGTGATAAGAATGGTCATCACCAGCCCGTACACAAATTTTCGTAGTGTGTAACTCACCTCCAAGAGCCGAGCAACGTTCCGTACGTTATCCACCATAAAATTTTACTCTGATTGGCTATTCTGATCCAATCTTGGAGAGTCCGATACAGCGACTCCCGACGGCTTGCACTCACAATTGGGCATGGTCTTGATAAACTGGTTTTGTTCAGCGGAAGTAAGTACACTCGAGAGAGATTGTAGATCGGATTGCGCACGTTAAACGGCACCTCTATATTTGTTGGGTTTGCTACCCTGTCTGGAATACTGCCCAACGTCATAAACTGACTGACTGACCGGAAACAGTTTTTGTACAAAAACACAGGAATTTTAATTTTATCAAGCATGCGCGGTGCCATCGGTTGACAATCAAACAGAACAGCTTTTAACATATGTTCCGAGTTTTCTGGCTCCTGTTTCCTCGCAAATGAATTGCCAGTGAGCAACACAAACAGGGTGAGTTGCATTGAGGTCCACGACATTCGCTTGTAAAGCTGTTCCACTGACGATACTCTCCACACTGGTGTGGTACCAACGTATTCTACGATGGACCCCAGACGATAGCTTCGTCTGTCTCCCATGTCTTGCAGTTCACTTTCAGAATCGATTAGCGTGATTTCCTGGCGGAACAAACGGGTGCGGTAATTGGAATATTTAATCAGATATAAAAAGGCAATGTATAAAAGGATCAGTAAGGCTGTACCACAGTAAAACCATCGACATTTCTTGGCGTTCGCTTCTGATACGTGCATTCGACCGGTGTTGGTCAGCTCGAAATGTGTGTTGAAATCGCATATCCACCTGATATTAGATGTCACTCGCGAAAGCGCACGCACCCACTCAGATTTGCGATTAGCTAATTGATCTGCAGACGCACACAATCAGTGTGAGTACATGGGCGACTGTTTGACGGACTTAACGTACATCTTTCACACTGAAATATATCAAACAAGCCCGATGTTTTTATAATCGCGTCTCCGCCGGTTATTCTACGTAGTTGAACCAGTTTATTTCCATGGTGCCTAATAATTTCACGATGAAAAACTACCTTCTTCGGTCAGTATTTGGAATAATTTAGCCCAGTGCTTAGTGTCATCATGGAGAGATCAGACTTCGTTTGCCATGACGTATACAAATGAAAATACATACAGTGTACCCCGTGGCTGGCACAACCAGCGCATCTTGATCACGTTGTAAATTTCCGTGTTGTATCATGTTTGGTACCACCTAATGCCGCTGTGTTTTTGTTTGTACACTCGAGATGGAGAGTCCTGATTTGGTCTATGTATGACACTCACCTAAATGACAGGAAAATGGTGCACTCACAAGCGATTATTGTCCTTGATTAGAATGAGACGATGGTGTATGAGGATGTCTGTGCACTTGTGGATACGCGAGAAATCCACCAAGTTCAAATAGATAATAATCTTTTCACCCGTCGGGTGCACACGGATGCGCACCGTGTTTGATAAAGCAAGTGTTATGGTGGTGATAATGCTTGTGCGCGCTGACTGGGTTGCCCGGATGTCAGTCGGGTGAGCTAAGTATGCAGTAGCACCGGACCAAAGACCTGGTTACTTTGGGCACTGCCGCACCAATACGAACAAGTACACAGGAGAGCCTCGTAGACTCACGGATATACGATGCGTCCGGAGAATCCCACGCCCAGGATGATTTGCCAGCTCTCTGACAAAGCCCCGTCTGCTATCCAGACTTACCTACCGCGCTATGGGAGGTAGCGTAGAATAAGGTATAAAATAAACACTGATTTACAAGCGGTACTGACTTCCCTGGGCATTCATCAGTCAATACCTTGAAAAAAATAAGAATGGACCATGAGGAAAAAGTAAACAGTTGAACATAACACTTCAGTGTCTCGTCAACCGTCTACATCTGAACCGGGTTCTTATATAAATTACCATACGTTAAGTCATCGAGTCAGGTAGAACTGCCAGAAGAAAATATGTTGGGAATGAAAGTGATGATGAAAGTGAGATTCCGATCTAAGTTTTCAAGGCTAAAATACTGATCTCTTTGCTGATCTCTTTGCTTCCTACAGAAAAATACTGGACTTTTTCGATAAGACTAAGCCACACATTGATGTCATTTTCTGTGTCTGAGAAAGGCGATAAAATAATACGTGAAAAGCATCAAAAGATTAGCCTGATAGAGAATGCGCTCGAACCACTTGCTGCCCTGGAAGATCGACAGAAGCTGAAACCAGACCAACTCAAGAAGAATTCAGCCCCCATTACAGCTCTCGTGACCTAATATTTGCTCTTTCCCGTATTCAAAAGCAGTGTTGAGGAACCACGATCCACTTTGGGGCAAAGTTTAGCTCACTGCTTACTGCTTGTATAAAAGCCTACTATCAATGAAGGAACTAACGAATGAAATAACGTGTATGGCGAGGAGACTACATAATTTCACAAGCAATCTGACGTACCTCAAGACTGTCTGCTAGTACCAATAACGTTCGACTCTGTTGGTGATCAAATGGTCCTGTATGGTTTACGACGTGGATGTACAACGCGTCACACATCTAGACAGTGCTGGTGACCATTTCCTTCTGGAGAAGAGCCAAAGGGAGCCGCGTTTGGCCCCTGATGATATAAACCGATTTCGCATCACTTGTTAGATCAGAGATAAATACAAGGATGACAAATATTTGGGTATACTTACTAACTGAACCAATTTCTGTCAGAGAGCGAAAAGCCATCACAGTTGTAGCAGCTGTCAACTGCAATTTCTCCTGCTAGATATCATCTTTCTCTCCCTGTCAATATTGGTCACTTTTGTCACAACGAAATACATACACAAGCCCCCGCGTCTTGGACTCAACGCATCCTTTCTTCTTTCACTGAGTGAACGCTTTTGTGACTGACGGTTGATTAAATTGTCTATTACTAATTTTCAACGTGAACAAAAATTTTAGCTACAAACACTGGACCTATTCATTTACATCAATGGATCAATATTGCACCTATTGGAAGGGCCTGGAATACCATAAAAACGGGAAACTTCTTTTCGTGGTATGGTGGTCAACCAGAATACGGACTTTCAAAAATTCCTCTTTTGAACTTTGAATCCGGATTTCGTCGAATTTTTCTCCTTGGGATATTTTTTCTGACTGACATTAATAATCTGTTTTGTGTACATTAGAGGCCGTTAACTACTACAAATTCACGCTCTTCATAAATGTACAGATTTTGATGCTTAAGTAGAAATTGACGCGTAGGAATAGTGTTCTCTGTATATATTCGGAAATCAGGAGCTTCGTATAAATAAAGGCGGATACTCAGTTGTTATTAACATCAAATGTAAAAGTTAACCAGGCTGATTTGAATCATCAAGACTGTACTCACGCTTTATATTTGGTCTTTACACTCAGCTTTAGTCTCAGCTTACAAGAACATACCAAAAGGACAGTGAAGGTGGTTTTCTTCAATTCACCAAAATCACGTCGACTGCTGATCATTTGAATCGAACTTGAACATTCATAGGTTATCTCTAGCAGAGAATGACGGAATTCCCATCTCGACAGAATGCATATTAACACCGTAGATGACAGTGATAAATGAAATCCGGAAGTGCTGACAGCAAATAACGTGATTCGGGTAGATGGGAAAGCGATCCTGCTATTATTTGTATGAAATGAGGGACTTGAAGCGCCAGTGGGGAACAGAATATGTACTTAGGTGATACGAGTAGGTTATTATGAACCGATCAGTTGGCTGCGTCCCACTGTCTGGTTGAAAATTGAGTGAATGAATTGTGGCTATGCTGATCACTACAAATCCCTTTGGGCACGGCTTATTTGTCTTTAGCATTCACATCATCTGGCACAAAATTGTCTTTCTATGTAGGTGGATATGTGTGATGGCTGGACAGAAGAATTATGCCTGTTACTTCTCCACCAACATTTGTTTATCCTATACACCCTTCCCTCGCTCAAATATTTATGGAATGATGTACCATCCGTAGCATCTTACGTGACTCTTTCAGAGACTTGCTGTTCTCCATGAACAAGGAAACTGAGTATTGGTCACCAAAAATTTGGGGGATCATGCGAGAGAGTGCGGTTAGGTCGTAATGTCGAACGGAGTATCAGGGTATGCTCATGCTTTTCTGTCATATAGTTTTCACCTACACAAAAGGCAACAGATAAATAGTATTCACTGAGGGTGAACTTAGGGGCAGCAGTTGTTAACTTGATGTCGATCAGAGGGTTAGTAATTTTCTCTGCCGAACACCGGGTATAGATTGGCCAAGTTCCACCCCGCCACGGGGATACGATGGCAGCAGCATTTTATTGGAACTACTGTTACTCAGGGTAGTAGTGCGGTTTGCAAAGAAATATCTCGAAAATGAAGTGGCAACCAATGTCCTATTGTAAACGTAGACACACTCAAGTCTAGCACAACACAGCGTTCGAAGAGCGAGAGTGTACCTCTAGAAAAAAGGCGCAATTTTGCATCCCGAAAAGATCGGCCATTTCTAGGAACTTCATCTGGAGGATTCTCGGAAAACCCAATAAGGCAAACTCAATAACACAAGGAGAGGGCGAAAGGATCATACTTCCATACATCAGGATTGCTTCGGAAATCACCACAAGGATGCTAGGACAGTGAAACGTGACCTTGTCTCACAAACCTTCAAACACCCTATGGAGAACACCGTCAAACTCAAGTGGACGATTGCACAGATTGTTGAGCATCAAGGTCGTACACAAGATTCAGTGCGAAGATTGTGACAAACACCGGGTGGGACAAACAGGGAGGGAGCTCTCAATCAGAATAAATGAACACAAACCAGGAAGCAAAAGGCATGGTCAACCGGGGCACATGATAACAAATGAAGAGCGGAGGCATAGAACTCCACTCAACAAACACATCGAAATCGACTAGTCTGTCGACCACTGAGGGTAAAAGAACTGCAGAACTACAGAACACAAAGCCGCACAACAAACCCGAATGAACCCGTATAGAGGAGGCAGGCAGAACAAAACAAGAAATGGAGGCGGCAATTAGCTTTTCCGGACTAGCATCGAACAAATCAAAGGAGGATGAAGAATGACTGAAAAATTTGCCATCCAAGTACAACCGAATCAGCTGACACGTCAGAGACGAAAACCCGCATTAAACGGAGTAGTGCAACTGGATGATCAAACCCCAGGGTGAGATAACGATGTAAACTAAGGACGACCAATAAAACTGAGGGAAAGAAACTACCAAGAATAAAAATCTCCATCACAACTAACCAAATGCAAGAAGGGAAGACCATAACTCAACACAAACCTGGAACGGTCGATCAAAAAAACTTGAAACCCCAACCAATGGGTCACGATGTATACATAATACAGTCAGCGCGACTAGCAATCAAGCCAATGATATAACAGGTAGGGTATATATCAATCGGCCAATCACATAAGAGGATATCTGATACTCTTATAAAACTATATACACGAAGCTAGGCACGGATGAAGCATACACTCAACAGCCCATTAGCGATTTCTCCTCGAGTGGGGATGAAACCTATGCAAGCGAATTGCCAAGCTCAATGAACAGATCAACGGCCATCTGATCAAAAACCTGTAGACACACCTGAGCTATCAATATTCCGACACAGTGACACTAATGTTTCGTATGATTCAAGCCTCTGTGGGATAAGGCATTTTGCTTGTAAACTAAAAAGCTTGAGCGTGGACAAGATTTCTTTCCAAGAGAATCAAATTTGGGTGCCCTGGACGATTCAGTCCAC